TTTTTGTTATTTTATGGCCTTATAACAAATATATTCAACAATTTTTATTGAGCTTGTGGCCATTTTTAATGAAAAACTTATTGTGGAAAAGCAACAATAATTTGAAAAAAATGGTAAAAGGGGATAGCTATTCGGAAATCACCACATTTCCTCATAAGACTTCTTTCAGTAGGATTCGAACCGACGATCCCACTGACTCAGCCAGTTGCCTGCGCACTGTGCTAAGTTCGCCTTGTAAATTATCGTTGCTTTTTCCCACTTTTTCATTTGTTAAGCCAACACAATCAAGCGCAGCTATTGCGCTGCTTTTCACACTTGATGATGTGGTTGTTGGTTTTTGTTAATAATTCTATTTTTATAATGTTTAACTTTTAGGTGTGCTCGTCCTTAAGTTAAATGTTTTTGTTATTTTATGGCCTTATAAAAAATATATACAAAAATTTAAATTGAGCTGGAGGCCCTTTTTAATGAAACACTTATTGTGGAAAAGCAACAATAATTTGAAAAAATTGTAGAAGTGATAGCTATTTCGGAAATCGCCACATTTCCTCATCAGACTCCTTTTAGTAGGATTCGAACCGACGATCCCACTGACTCAGCCAGTTGCCTACGCACTGCGCTAAGTTCGCCTTTTAAATTGTCGTTGCTTTTTTCTCAGTTTTTTTCAGGGACGTGAACCGGGTGAAAAATTTTGTCGGTTCGGTTCAGCGGTTCGAACCGTTTTTGCACTTTTGGATTGGTTCCTCAAAGCGGTTTTTTCGGTCTTTTAACCGGGGTTCCGGTTCGGTTCAACGGTTCGAAAAACAAACAACTAATAAAGTCTAAGTTCGGGCGGAGCCGAACATTAAATACCCAGCGCAAGTATTAAATATATGATTTTCACCTTTCCGAAAGCTACCGTAACATGGTAAGCCGGGGTGTATCAATTTGGAGTAACTTAGCGTCCTTAAATTTCGAAATATTGGAAGTTTCAAGCATTACTGAAATTTACCGTTATATGAAAAGCGGCCTCAATTTTAGTCTGATTAGCCATACCGAGTTTGGTACAAATTGGTCGAACGGTTACCGAGATACATATATGTGTTCACAAGTGGGCGGTGCCACGCCCATTTTCCAAAATGTTATAATAAACGTATTTCTTGGCAAAGAATTGTTGCAAGCATAAATTTTGAATAAATTAGCTTTAATATTTACTGATTTATTCAAGATTTCGTATTTCACCAAATTACCGTTATATGGGAGGTGGGCGTGGTTATTTTCCGATTTTACCCATTTCCAATACCATCCGTCCCACGCCCGAAAGTAGGGCACGTACAAAGTTTCGTTAAGATATCTCACTTTTTACTCGCGTTATCGTGTGCACAGACGGACCGGCGGACGGACAGACGGACGGACAGACACTCCCCGCTTAATCGATTTCTTCTGAATACATTTGTCTATAAATATCTCGATTCGTCTTACCTATTACAAACAACCGTTATGTGAACAAAGTTATAATACCCTTGTGCACAAGTACGCACGGGTATAAAAAATAACGCGCAAGTTTGAGTGTCAAGTGTCAAGTGCAACAACGCGCAAGGTTAAGGATCAAGTGTCTGTCAAATGAGATGGGTGGCTTTTACATTTGATATTGTCACATGGTAAACAAACATGGTAGGTATTTCCATGTTTAACAAAAAGAAAAAAAAGTGGGTACATTTTTCTATTAAAAATTGGTTGAAACGTACCTTCAAACCTTTATGGAAAGTGGTTCGGTTCTCGGTTCGGATCAAACATTTGTGGAAAATCTCGGTTCGGTTAATGGTTCAGTTAATTAATAGAAACAAGCGGGTTTCCGGTTCAAAACCGGTTCGGTTCAAAACCGGTTCACGTCCCTGGTTTTTTTCATTTGTTAAGCCAACACAATCAAGCGCAGCTATTCCGCTGTAATTCACACTTGATCGTGTGGTTGTTGGTTTTGTTGGTTTTTGTTAATTATTCTATTTTTAGAATGTTTAAATTTTAGGTATGCTCGTCCTTAAGTTATTTGTTTTTGTTATATTAAAAATAGAATTGTTAACAAAAACTAACAAAACCATCAACCACACGATCAAGTGTGTATTGCAGCGGAATAGCTGCGCTTGATTGTGTTGGTTTAAAACCTAAAAAAGGTGGGAAAAAAGCCACGATAATTTAAAAGGCGAGCTTAGCACAGTGCGTAGGCAATTGGCTGAGTCATTGGGATCGTCCGTTCGAATTCGACTGAAAGGAGTCTGATGAGGAAATGTGGTGATTTCCGAAATAGCTATCACTTCTACCCTTTTTTCAAAATATTGTTGTTTTCCACAATAAGTTTTTCATTAAAGACGGCCTCAAGCCCAATAAAAATTTTTGAATATAATTGTTATAAGGCCATAAAATAACAAAAACAAATAACTTAAGGACGACCACACCTAAAAGTTAAACATTCACAGAAAAAAAATTATTAACAAAAACCAACAACCACATGATCAAGTGTGTATTGCAGCGGAATAGCTGCGCTTGATTGTGTTGGCTTAACAAATGAAAAAAGTGGGGAAAAAGCAACGATAATTTAAAAGCGAACTTAGCACAGTGCGTAGGCAACTGGCTGAGTCAGTGGGATCGTCGGTTCGAATCCTACTGAAAGGAGTCTGATGAGGAAATGTGGTGATTTCTGAAATAGCTATCACTTCTACAATTTTTTCAAATTATTGTTGCTTTTCCACAATAAGTTTTTCATTAAAGACGGCCTCAAGCTCAATAAAATTTTTTGAATATAATTGTTATAAAAAACAAAAACAAATAACTTAAGGACGAGCACACCTAAAAGTAAAAAATTCTAAAAATAGAATTATTAACAAAGACCAACAACCACATGATCAAGTGTGTATTGCAGCGGAATAGCTGCGCTTGCTTGTGTTGGTTTAACAACTGAAAAAAAGTGGGAAAAAGGCAACGATAATTTAAAATGCGAACTTACGCAGTGCGTAGGCAACTGGTTGAGTCAGTGGGATCTTCGGTTCGAATCCTACTGAAAGAAGTCTGATGAGGAAATGTGGTGATTTCCGAAATAGCTATCACTTTTACAATTTTTTCAAATTATTGTTGCTTTTCCACAATAAGTCTTTCATTAAAAACGGCCTCAAGCTCAATAAAAATTGTTGAATACAAAATAATGATTATTTGAAGAATTTAAAAAATCAGGCTAAAGTATGTCTTATTAACTATTATAGGGGAAAAAATCAGCAAGATACATGCTATGAATCAGTGGATAATAAATAATTACAGGATGCATCAAAAAAAGGTAGTAACAATAACGCTTGTCAAAGTTGGAATTTTGCAAAATTGCTAAAATTATATTTCTTTATGGTGTGTGAAAAAATCTTGACAGGAAATAATGCATATACATATACATACGTACATATATGTAAGTGTTTAAGTAAGCGCCCTGCAAAAAATTGTGCGACTAATCTCTAAAGCGAGTATTCCGAGATTACTCTCAATCGGGTACAATTGGGCATTAATTAGTGCCAACTAGTCTCATACGGGTACTATTGGAGGTCAATTAGTCTCGACTCATCCCTTATGGGTATAATTGGAGATCAATTAGTCCCCAACTCATCTCTAACGGGTACTATTAACGATTTAATGATAAGTACGCACTTAGTCAATGAAATTTCATGTGCGACGTTGGCACAGAGAGAGTATTCGCCTAACAAAACTGAGCACCTCGGTTCGAATCTCAGCTGATGCAAATTTTTATTTTTATTTTTTAAAAGTGACTACTCGCTTTTCATACCCGTTCGGGTATAAAAGTGAACAATTAGTCTCTTCATAGGATGCATTTTCTCGTTTCAGTTCGGGAACTTTGTGTACTTGTTTTTTAATAGATTTTGATTGATTGATGTACTTTTTGAAAAAGTTTTTTAAAATAATATATCTTAGTAGTGCTTAAAATATATTGGTGACTTAGTGCATTTTTGAGCGTGCAATCACTCAAAAAAAAGAGCAACATTTAAAAAAGGTGTTTTTTAATAACTTTTACACGGTTAACAATATAAACCCCCACCTCCGAATTGTTAATACAGATATAAAAATGCGCCGATTGGTACCACTCCTGACAGTTTTGGACGTTTTTTTTGCAAGTTGTACCTTCAACTAGAGAATTACCCAGTTTATTTATGCACATATGCATATTAGCTGTGCACTTGGTAAACATTACACAAAAAATTATCAAAGGTGCAATAACGCCATAAGGCTTTATGTCTCTTTCACAGTGAGAAATAAGATCATACGCAAATATATGGCTTTATTTCTCCATGTAAACTGATATAAAGCCATATGCCGTTATTTCCTATGGCTCTATTGTACGGCATCGCCCTAGGTTTGTGGTCCTCATCTAATATCTACAAGAATTATTCAAGTACTGGTTAGTGTTATTAATAGCTGAAACACAATCCCGGCGAACGGCGAACTCACCACAGCGATATTCGCACTGCCAAAAGTAGAACACCAGCAAGCATATGAAATTGAACACAGTTAAAGCGAAATGCGAAGTTCACTCGGCGTAATTTCGTGGCGATAGATTTATTTCTATCGCCCCGCTGGGTGATGGCTGCAGAGAGTGGCAAAGGTGGCGTTTGTTTATCTACTCTCAAAGTTTTAGAAGAAAAGAAAATACATATAATGCGATAATTTTTTTTTTTGGTGAAAAATACAGTTATCGATTCGTTAAATATGGCTTAATGTAAAATTACTTATAAAAATTTCTTATTTTTTATAGTTATATTTGCTATAATTTCCTCATTTCAGTATTTCGTTCGCTGTTTTCTCTGTTGTTCTAATTGAATTAAAGTAGGCGAAATAGAAGGGCCAACGGTTAACAACGGCATCGCCAAACTCGGCGAACTTCACCGTTCGCCGGTATTGTGTTTCAAGCATTACGCCCTTATATTTGTTTTTTGCTGTCAATGTAGCTTTACTTTTTGTGTTTTTTGAAGCTAATATGGAGACATGATGGACGACTTGTAGTTCCAAACGCATATGCAAATGACAAATACAAAGTCAGTGGATCCGGCAGTCTTATTGTAAAAAATGTTTCGATCACAGATGAAGGTCGTTATGAATGTGCAGTGAAAAATAAATACGGACGTGTAACTGCTTCAGGGCTAGTGAAGATCAAGTAAGTTCCCCAATTACACCACCAATTTTTTGTCTATAAACTTATAGCCCTACCAATGCTCTATGGACAAGAAATCAATTAATGTGGATGCAAATGAATGACTTAGCCGACAATTTATTACACATTCTCAGCGGTTTTGGGGTTGCTGACAACGAATCTGATGTCAGTTTTCGAAATTCAAAAAAGGGTCATAAAAATTTTCAAAGTTAAGAATGTTAATTAATTAATGTTAACTCGTTAATTAAAATAAATGCCAGAAATATAGAAGCTTGAATTTTAACATTTGACTTTAATTAAATTCACTTTCAGCGACCCCAATAACCTCCGAGGTATACGATTTCAGCAAATTCATTAAGATTTTACAAATATGTCCGCCATAATTACGGTGACCATATTAACCAATGTAAAATAAAGGAATTTTTTTTTCATAATTATTTGGGAACACGTACATACAACTTGTATGATAAAAGTACCTTACCCATATCGTAATTTAAATCAAATATTTACCAGTTAATTAACCGATTTCGAAAAATGAAGCCAAATCCTGAAGAACCTCGCCATCCTTTGCTGCCAAAATGCATTTACCGAAGTCAGCACACAGTGGTTCAAAATTGGAATTCAATGTTCATAATTCACCGCAATCTTCATTTTTCAACCAACTTTTACTAAAAATCAAAAAAAAAAATTTATTTTTGTGAGCCTTTTTTTATAACATTTCAAACATTTTTTTGTAATTTTTCCGGTTTGGGGAACCATACAATTGTTTTTAACTAGTGTTTGTTATGTAACATTTATTAACTGGATACAATATAATCAAATAAAAATTCACAAATCAGGCTCAACTGGTCTCTTGCAAATATTATAAGCTTTAATAAGAAAAGATTATCAAATTAAATGAAAAAAATGAAGGCTTTATTAGGGGGTTTATTGTTCTCTTTCAGTGGAACTGGAAACTCAGCGTGCAACACAATGCTAAGCACAACTTTCCCTGTGCTTTATAGATTGTGCAAAGATTACCTATTTAATAAAAACCCTTAAGAGGGATGCGAAACAAACTGGCGAAGGTTCATTATATTTTATAAGGAACATTTTTATTTTTCATATTCTGTGTTTAAAATTTACCTCTGAAAAATGCAGAGCTGATTTAAAGGACAGTTTAAGAAATAAAGGACAAGAGGCGTCCTTTATTTTGAAAAAAATTATAAGGGACAGGGGGTTCAAATAAAGGACTGTCCTTTAAAATAAAGGACGGAAGGTCATCGTAGCCATAATGGAACCGTAATTTTGAATTTTTGATAACTAACTTCATTTTCTTTGTCACCGACCCTAAAAACCCCTCAGTTAGAATTATAACTTTAAAATGTATGTATGTTTGCAATTATGGTATTCAACATATACTTCTCGGTACTAATTTTTACGTTAATACTATGATGTTACCTTTACCAGAGTCATTTCATTTTGATATGTAGGTTGTACTGGCTCCGCCATAATGGATTGTATGGAATGGAATGTATTACAAGATTTTATTTAAATTGCTCATTGGAAATTTCCAATCGATTTTAAACTACCTTTTCGACAAGCTAGAGACTTGAAATTTTCAGCGTTGTTCCGATCACGACGACAATACAATTTAAAATATAAGTGGTAAATATAAATGATGGTCCAGTAAAATTTATGGCTAACAGAGCGTAATTTTCCAAAGAACGCAAAACGATTTAAGTTCTTTATATCTGTCCGCATAGTAAGTATACTTTCAGGCACTAATATAATGGATTCTATTGTAACTTTTATGGTAAGTGATATATCGGAAATTACTTTCAACTGTGTTTCACATGGCCCAACTGTTAAAGATTCAAAAATTTATATGTAAAATATTCAATTTTACATGTTTTAGCCACCTCTGTTGAAAATTACATATGTATATGGTTAGTGAAAGACTGAAATACGATACAAGCCACCCTCTCTCCTCTCTCTGCATTAGCCGTTACATGCATCTTAACCTTTATGTCAACGGCAGAAATATTACATGTACGCCAACAGCATACATTTACATGGGAAACGGCATTGCGGTGTGAAGAAAATGTGGATATTTTACCCAATTTCTTTTAAGCTGGCTAAGTGTTTTTGTTAATCTGTGAACAAAATAATTATTTTAACCTGGCGTTTTTGTGGTGACTAGAAGTTCCTTGAGTGGTGTAGTTGGATATGACATACCCCATGCGTATTATTTTCACATACACACAATATTGCAGAAATAGAAATTTTTTCTGGTGATTTGTTATTGTTCAATTCATTTTTTTATAGATTTTAAAAAGAAAACATAAATTTTTTTGTAAACAATAAAATAGAAATAAATAGAAGACCTATAGAAATGAATACAGTAAAGCTCTTTGATACATAAAAGGTTTTTTATTAAAACAAAATAAAAAGTATATATATATATATTTTATTGTTGGTTTTCCACAACATTTTTCATTTCAAAAATGGCCTCAAGCTCAATAAAGATGTTGAATATAATTCTTAAAAGGCAAAAACAAATAACCTAAGGACGAGCACACTTTCAAGTTAAAATATTCTAAAAATCGAATTTTAACACATAAAAATTTCAATAAAATATTTGAATATATACGTATGTATATACATATTAGACTGTGTCAAGTAAAACGAATGCTTAGGTTCTTTCGGTCTCATATCAAAATTTCGTTATCAACTACAAAAATAATGTCCGCAAACTTTCAGCCCTCTATCTTCATTTTTAAGGTAGCGCGCGCAAAATTGAGAATTTTCAATAAAAAAGTTTTGTCCCGCAACTTGATTTTTATAAACAATTAAATGTAACAAATAAAAGAAAAACCTTAATGCAGTTTTGTAGGGAATTAAATTCTCTGCAAAGCTAGTTATACATGAAATTTAAAAAGCAAACTCCATGTTTTTTTACCTTCCTTTTATTAGCTCGGGATGTAACTATGTTATATTGATGCGCCTAAAAGATGCAGCGATTTCTATTCTCAAGTTATATACCTGATGACAGTACGAACGGCAATTATAATATCCTCCCACAAAAGCAGATATATTGCACAAATCTATTGTTTTGCATAGGCTCGAAAAAGTCCAAAATTGCGTTTTTCAGCACTTTTAACCCTAAGGTCCTCGAAAACTAGAGCCAATTTAATATATTTAAAAAATTCTATAAGAATCGGCTACAATATTTTACGCAACAGAATTTTGTTGGGCAGTGTTATTAGTTATAGGTTATTTTTATTCAAGTGTAAAAACTTGATTAAAAATTTTAAAGCTTTTTTTCTCACGTGTTCAATTTTTTTGAGTTTTCCATTTTTCCGTCAGTTGACAGATATTCAAAATAATTTAAGTTTTTTAAACCATGAGCCAATTTTTGCTAACTGAATAAATAATTCGCTTTCTTTTCCAGGAACAGTGTGAACGCAGCTCCAGGTGATCATTACGTTAGAATAGCATTTAGGGAAGCTGCGAATGAAATTGATTTGGCTATAAACAATACCATTGAGGCTCTTTTTATGAAACGAAATGTCACCTCAAATGGACAGTTTAATCACGGTGACCTTTTGCGTATATTCCGGTTTCCTAAAGGCGAAGCACGTCAACTTGCTCGAGCTGCTGAGATATATGAGCGAACTCTTGTAAATATAAGAAAGCACATCGAAAAAGGCGATAATCTTACCTTATCAAGTCAAAGGTATGAGTTTCGTGAACTTCTTTCTCGTGAACATTTGCATTTGGTAGCTGAACTTTCCGGCTGTGTAGAACATCGTGAAATGCCAAATTGTACAGATATGTGCTATCACTCAAAATATCGCAGCATCGATGGTACTTGTAACAATCTAAAAAACCCGTGGTGGGGTGCTTCACTGACAGCGTTTAGGCGTATTGTGCAGCCAATTTATGAAAATGGTTTTAGCACACCTATTGGCTGGACAAAAAACTTTTTGTACCGGGGATTTTTAAAGCCAAGTCCACGATTAATATCAACACATATTATTTCAACTAAACACATAACCCTGGACGAAGAAATAACTCACATGGTAATGCAATGGGGCCAATTTTTAGATCACGATTTGGATCATGCACTGCCGTCAGTTAGTTCGGAAAGTTGGGATGGTATAGATTGTAAAAAGACCTGTGAGTTTGCACCACCTTGCTTCCCAATCGAAGTGCCACCAGAAGATCCCCGCATAAGAAATCGTCGATGTATTGATGTTATTCGTTCTAGCTCTGTTTGTGGTTCCGGTATGACATCAATCTTTTTTAAAGATATTCAACATAGAGAGCAAATCAATCAATTAACTTCGTTCATTGATGCCTCCCAAGTTTATGGTTACAGTTATGAATTTTCCTTAGAACTTAGGAATTTTACAACAGACGACGGACTCTTAAGAACAGGAGTTAAGTTTCCTGGCCAAAGGGATATGTTGCCATTTGCTGCACCTCAAGATGGTATGGACTGTAGGCGAAATCTGGACGAAAACACTATGAATTGCTTTGTTGCAGGAGACATACGAGTTAACGAGCAAATTGGTTTATTAGCCATGCATACTATATGGATGCGTGAGCATAATCGTGTTGCTACAAAATTACGTGATATAAACCCTCACTGGGATGGTGACACTGTATACCAAGAAACACGAAAAATTATAGGAGCTCAAATGCAACATATAACTTTCAACCATTGGCTACCATTGATTATAGGGGAAAGTGGTATGCATATGTTGGGAAAATACCGAGGTTATGATCCTTATATAAACCCATCGATTGCTAATATATTTGCCACAGCTGCGTTACGATTTGGGCATACTATTATAAATCCAGTGCTTCACAGACTTAATTCTACTTTTAAACCAATACCACAAGGGCATTTATCCCTGCATAAAGCATTTTTTGCTCCATGGCGTATAGCATATGAAGGGGGAGTAGATCCCCTTTTGCGTGGTATGTTTTCGGTGCCAGCGAAGTTAAAGACCCCTGACCAAAATCTTAACGCTGAACTCACGGAAAAATTATTTCAAACAGCTCACGCGGTGGCTTTGGATCTTGCAGCTATTAATATTCAACGTGGCAGAGATCACGGACTACCAGGATACAATGTTTATCGGCGGATCTGTAATCTCACCATAGCGAAAACTTTTGAGGACTTGCAAGGAGATATAAGAAGCGCAGAAGTGCGTAAGAAGCTTCAAAATCTTTATGGGCATCCAGATAATATTGATGTATGGGTCGGAGGTATTCTAGAGGACCAAGTTGAGGGCGGCAAAGTAGGTCCATTGTTCCAGTGCCTTCTTGTAGAGCAATTTCGACGATTACGCGATGGGGATCGATTTTATTATGAAAACGATGGTGTATTTCTTTCAAAGCAGCTGAGTCAAATTAAGCACGCAAGTCTCGGTCGTATACTTTGCGATGATGGTGATAATATTAACGAAGTGTCGTCTAACGTATTCTTACTGCCCAAAAGGCAAGGTGGCTATAAAAAATGTGCTGACATTCCGGAAATTAACTTATATTTTTGGCAGGACTGTGGTTCATGTCAGTCTTTACCACCACTTTTGGAAACACAAGAATCAGAATTATATAGCAACCATTACCTTAAGAAGAGATCAATTCATATTTTAAGAAATATTTCTGAAAATTTACAGAACTCATGGCATTCTAACGAATCGCGGATAAGCACTTTAGAAGAGACCATCTATAGGCTTGACAACGAGCTTAATGAATATAAAAAAAGAGTTAAGAAGCTGGAAGATGAAATTTTGTAAATAGATTTTTTCTGCACTGTTAAATAATAAAAGCATATTTAAAAATAATTTAATTTTTATTTTTATGTAATAGTACTTTAGCAAAGAAACTATTTTTACTTTTGAATTCATTTATAATGAGATTATCTGATTAAAAATTATTATTGTGTAAATATACCCACATAACCACATAAGCCGATAACCAGGCAAGCGTGGTCAATATCAATGTTCTACTGCATGCGTTGGGCTCTCCTCGCAAATGAGATCATGAAATTGTTGAATATAATTGTTATACGGCCATAAATAACAAAAAATAACATAATTACCACTTATTAGTGCAAATCATTGTCTGCACATAACTGCTACATCGGCGTACGCAGGTACGGGATGGTAAGCTAAATTCCGCTACAGATGTCAAACTATCGACGATACTATCTATAGTATCGATAGTCTGGTCACATGAAATAACTATCGATAGTTTTAGTACTATCGCCACTATTTTGCATTGATAGCGTATTCTCTTTCCTAGCGCTTTTGACAATTGCACGTATTGGTTCAAAGAGAACAAAACTGGGCGGCATTATTTCCTGAACGAACGAATAAAGATCACCCAGAACGGAGTGCGTGAAAAAAGTATTTTTTTTTGGAGTGACGTCATTTTTTCTCCGCCATGTGAATGAAACGGAATGAAACCGTGTGTGTGAATGAAACAACCGGTTAAAAAATGACGTTATCAACTATTATATTTTTTTCTGAAATGCAATTATAAATACACGGTCCTGATGGTGATTTGTTTAGTTGGTTCATGGCAATATTTCTAAAGGCGTCATTTTTTATTTTAAGAGTGGAAATAGCAGAGGCAACATTGACGTTTAAAGAACGTGCCAGACGTGGCAATGCAGTATATTTCAAAAGACTGAAATTGAGAAATTTCAGAAAGCAGTTTCAGTGGCACCTTGCATGTAAAGTTTTTTATTTCCGAAAGGTGAGTTGAAGGGAAAATTTCTGAAATCGCTTTTTGACTTTTTACACGGCGAATGAAGTTCTAGCAATATTTCTTGATACTAAAATGCAACTGTGAGCTGCTAAAATAAACAAATTTATAAAAGCAAGATTACGAAAAATAAATGGATTTAGAAAAACATATGAAATGGGTCGATACTATCGATAGTATCGATAGTCACTGTTCCAGGCTGGGCGAGGGAGAAGAAAAAGACTAACTGCTCTGCTGGTTTAAGTGCAACTGACAACATGTGGAGCGTTTACCTATATCTATACTATATATAGAATTCAAACCCAAAAGAGCGTGAGAGCAAAACAGCCTTTACTGGGTCGATTTCTATGATTCAAGTTTTAAAATGACATATTTCCACCACAGTAGGAAACAGTGCTATTTTTAAAATGAAATTTTAATAATAAGTATGTTTAATTAAAGTATTAAGTTGGTCAACAATACCACGCATTGCTAAACCATTTGCCTTTCACGCATTTGTGTGTAGAGAGCTTCAACAAACCACATACACAGTGTTGCCATTTTGGTGTTTTGGGAGCTAGATTTAGCTCCTTATTTTTCTATTTAGCTCCGAAAATTGGGTTTTAGCTCCTAGCTCTTTTGAAATTTATCTAGCACTTTTTTAGCTCCAAAAAGTTTTTGTTGATTTGGTATATATAAGCCAAAACTTAAGCGTTGATAAAATGGAAATTTCGAGATGCAGGGTAACCAGTTTCCTCTCTTAATGAATGCAAATTTAAACACTACTTGCTTACTTTTACTTATCATATGTGTGGCGTAGAACAAATTTAAAATTTGCTTTTGAGCTTTAAATATTTATTGATCACATTTTCACAGTATACACATAAAATGTTTAAAATTTCCTCTAAAAAATTTTCGTTTAAATTTACACATATAAGGAGAGGTAACCAGTTAGTTTCCTCTCCTAGTGTCTGCAAAATTAAACACTGTCTGTTTACTTTTCCATGCCAAATTTGTCACGTAGCGCACACAAGGGGTGGGTTTTGGGGTTACATTTATTATGATTTAAGAAATTTTAATACAAGAAAATTTTCTTTTTCATTTCTTGTGCGTCATTATGTAAGAATTTTTCTTTTTTCTTGAGAGCTCTTTAAAGTTTAACTGCGAATAGAAACATTGTCATAAAAATACGCAATGCATACTCACTTACTGTTGCTTTTTACACTTTACAGCCATAAAAATTTACCACTGATATGTACTTAACAACCATTCGAAGACTTAATTTACTAACTTGGAATTCGTTCCACCAAAATGAGCTACATGATAAAAACACAAGTTCAGTTAAATTTTAGTTATTCTAAGTATTAAAAAAATAGAAACCAGAAATCGACGAAAATGAATATAAATGTGTAAAAATTTCATTGAATTACTTAATTTATTTATATTAAAATTATTTTGTAAAATTTTGTATTACTTTTGAAAGTTGAGTGCATCTTGTGTTTATAGAATTTTTTATTAAACAAGTAATTTTTAAGCAAAAAGCAAAACCGAGAGAGAATTTTCAGTATTTTCTGATCATGGTACAATAAAACAGGTAGAAGCCAATTTGACGTCAAACCTACAAAAGTCAAAGTTTTCGGGAGAGTAAAAATAAAAATGAGCGTGTGTAAGGAAAAATAAAAAAATACATTTTACTGGTTGACGTGTTTAAGTATATTTGAAGTTTATTCTTATTTATTTATTTTCTTTAGTTAAAATTTGATAAAACGTGTATGTTGTTTTCTGTTTTTGTTTTATGAGTTGCAGTGTTGTTGGAGGGACTTTTCGGCATAAGGGTCATACGAACTGCACTTGGCTTCAAACGTGCCTTTCCTGTACCTCCCGGTGTATTTGTGGAATCTACTTCTTTAAAATGTTTAACGCACAGCAAGGCATTTCACTGCAGCTCTGCCCACAGCTGCTTTCGCAACGTTCCTTACGCGGAGGACTTGAGGCACGTTAAAAAATTAGTGGTATCTGCCTTATATTTAACACCACATAAAAAACAACGCTTCAGGTGTTGCATTTTTAACACATACACTAAGTATAAATATAGAAAAAGGTTTTTTCTTAACAGCGGTCGTCCCTCGGCAGGCAATGGCAAACCTCCGAGTGCATTTCTGCCTTGAAAAACAGCTTCTCATAAAAATACAATCGCCGTTCGGAGTCGGCGTAAAACTGTAGGTCCCTCCGCTTTGTGTGACAACATGAAGGCGCACGCCACAAATCGGAGGAGAAGCTCGGCCAAACACTAACATATGTGTAAGCGCCAATCTATTATTATTATTAAGTATAAACCGCACAACACTACAAAAATTCAAATGCAAATTAGAATTTGTTATTAACGAACATTCAAAAAAAAAACAACGATATGACATTCAAAGCGTAACGAAATATAGGAAATAAAATAAAATCAAGTTGAAGTTTAAAGGTTTGGTTCTCATGAGAGCAACGTCATTTTGGCTTCTACCTGTATTTATGTGCCTTGTTTTCTGATGATATATATTTAGAAGTATAAATGAAAATTCAATGCACTTGAAGTCTTTAAATGCATCTTCATATCGCTAAAACTTTTCGTTTAGCAGTTTTAACTCCTTACCCAACTCCTGGAAGCCACTTCTGGCGCTCCTAAACATTTTACAAAGCTCAACTTCGGTTGATCTGCACTTGGGGCAAGACCAACGAGCACCTTTGTTATCGGTTATGATACCAGCCATCCTACCATTGAGACCAGCACATTTTACGTGAGCTAAGTCATCACACAACCAACACGCAACGCAACGCTCTAATACTAGGTTCACATATAAGTAGATTATCCTCATTTACGAGCTTAACTTCCTAATCTGTAATTAGAAAAAGAGATTAGCCATATAAAATTCCGCCCTTGTTAATCTGTAATTATAAAATAATCTCAGATTTAACCGATAACTTTTCGGTGTCCATCCTAGTTTTATCGATTGTTTTTGCGAAGAAGAGGGGAAATGGCAAATGTAAAAGTAAACAAAAATGGATGCTAACAAGGAAAGGAGGGTTTTAAAGGTATTTTTTTTAATAAAATGTTAAGTTAAAATATATCTATATTGCTTAATATAGCAGAAAAACGTGATCACGGTGGCACAGAGAAGAAACATAACTTTTCCTTCAGATGTGAGAATAACAAGCACAACAAATTTGACGGCTAATAATCTGAGATTTGCTTGTGTAAACGGGGTGATTAAATAACGAGCTTTGATTGAGGTAATATTGATATGTGAACATAGTTTTAGTCGTTTTTAATGTTACATTTTTCAAAACAGCAGGATGAATACATTACAGCGCGAAGCAGTAACAATTTGTATGTACAAGAAAAACTCACAGTGTACGCTTTTAGTACGATAGTAGCAAAGATGAGCGTTTGAGAGACATAGAAGTCTAGGTATTGTCAGTTCAATGGTTAGAAACCGTGCTGAATTTAACAGTTTTAAAGCCACTGAACCAAAAAGCCTAAAAGCATAAAAGCAAGCCAATATCAGCTGTTTGCAGAAAAATTATTTGATCGATGATAAGCAAAATGTATGATAAATCGCGGAAGATGGGAAAATGCACTCTCACGCAAAACAACAATAATGCACCAAAAGAGGCAAATATGCACAAGTAATGACAAGAATATTAATTTTTTATTTGTAATCCACGCACTTTATGTCTAAAACACAACAATATATTGGAGCTTGACTTCAAATAGCTTTTTCCAGTATAAATTACACAAATTAGAACTGCTTAGCACTTAGATAAACAAAGTAACTTTAGAAATTCTTTCAAACGAATGTTTAAGCGACCGCACAGTACGAACGTTGCCACATATAAATTACATATAAATAATGAATCGTTTTTTTTTTAACCTGCTTTTTTTTCTTTATTTATTATTTTAATTTCTAAAGCTGATGCCAGATAAAACTTTGTAGCTTTGCGTGACATTTATAACTTTGGCAGCGAAGCGCCAGGCGCAAAAGGTATGCCACAATGAACGCAAAGAAAACAATTTTGTACTGCTTTTTTACTAGTCAAAATTGCTGTG